TCACTAAAGTAGTAGCCCCTTCAAGAACCTCCCTGTAAAACCTGTCCTCGGGGGAATATGAGGAGCCACAGCTGCAGTGAGGGGTTGGCCAAGGCCACCTTGGCAAGTGGAAGAATCTTGAAAGGCGGCCATGGGCTGCTGTGCCCACTCTCTGTGGGATCAACTCCCTGTTGTTGCAATGTCAGCCAGCCCTGTGCTGCAAAGGCATCCCTGTCTGTAGAGCATGTGAAAACATATCGAAACACTCTTCATATCACAATACATCTGTTCTAAGAGGCTGAATAGAAAATGCCAGGGGAACATTAACTCAGAATTTTCTAACTTGAGTGCAATTAAAATCTCAGCCATAGTACAGAATTAATGTAGCCCTTTGCATTTTAAATACATATAAATTAAATGACACCCATCTGTAGAATATGAGAGTGCATTTTTATTGAGGATTTCAAATGATATAATCTGTTTCTCTGAAGCATAAATGGTGTGGTTCATGTTTCCAGAAGCTTCAAGAGCATTATATAGATGTGTCCTAAGTGCGTGTGGTGACGCTCAGTTTGTTCAGACGTAAATGCTTGACTTGCCTGATACAAACTGTTTGTGTGTGATCATCGGTGTCAAAAAATAAGAGCATGGCCTTCTAAATGTGCAGGTTGGGTCTCCACAGACAGCGCTGGAGGGCTAAGGGGAGCAGAGGGTCACAGCAGCACTGTCGGCTATGTGCCAAATAGGGATTGCAGTCTGCTCTAAATGAATTTAACCACTCTAAGGTGAGGTTTGCTCCTGAGCCCAACTAACACAGGACCGTCATGGGCTGCACAGCTCATCTTGACAGGAAGCCTTTAGGTTCTTGTAATATTTTCAGCAAACAGAGATGCACTATCAAGGAGAGGGTACATATATATGGTTTTGCATTTAGAGTGGCCATTTATTGGTTCCTTGCTGTGATATTCCCACATATTTTCAAAAGCACAAGGCCTAAGTTAAGTAGGGGGCCTCAGGGTTTTATTCCTGGCTGTAGCATTACCTAGTGGGGTGTCTTTAGGAGGCACGGTGAAGTGAGAAGAAGAACATAGGGCGCTGGACTTACCTGCTGTTTAGATCCTGCCTGCACCACTCTTGGCCTTCATTTTCTCCATGGAGGAATGAGGGCACCCAACCCATACTGTGCAGGCTGTTACAAGATGGCACAGCCTGTCTCACACTTGTTGCTGTTCAGGAAATGCTGGTCATAATGGTAGTCAAAACTCTAGGCTGGGAACAAGCTGCCCTAGATTCCACAACTGGCTCTGGCACCTACAATCTCATCTCTTGGGAATGCTGTTTTATCTTTGAATTTTGTTTTTGCTTTCTGGAAAAATGGAGGCAAGAGTATTTACTCCTATGCTTCCTCTTGCTGCTGTGACAAGGTTTATGTTCTTAGTGTATTACCTTTATACTGCACTGTTGATCTGAAATACCACATGGCAATTCCTGTCCTAAGCAGGTGCCAGAGGCCCCCCTACAGCAAATGCCCATCATTGCCTTGTCACATTACGCATCCTATGGCCTCTTGCTTCATCTTCAAAGCCAGCAGTGTGGAACCTCTCTCATAGGGCATCCCAGTGAGGACACTGAACTCAGTTACATGATCTAGGGATAATCTTCTTATTTTAACGTGAGCTCATGAGCAACTTTAATTCCTCTTTGTCTACCAGATTCCTAGGTTTCGAGGATTTGGGCACAGGCATCTTTGATGATTGAATTGTTCATTACTGTTTTGTGTACTGAGGGGTCATCCAACCTTAGGCTTTTCGCAGGTAGAACAACTCACCTTTCAATACATCCACACACATGGGATCCTGCCAGTACCTTCTTGAGGTGTGCTGTGCTCTTCTTGGGCCAGCAGGTGTGCTGTTAGTCTGGCCTCGCTTGTCTTCATTCTGTGGAGCACTCTCTGAGAGGGTTCTAGAACCTCTCTTTCCTATAGCTCAACATTGAGTTTACAGGTTATAACGCTGTATGTCTGAAAATATCTGTATCTTCTCACATACTGAAGTGCTAAGACTAGATACAGAATTCTATGTTGAAAATAATTTTTCTTGAATTCCTAAAGGTATTTTTCTATCCCCTGGCTTCCTGTGTCATTTTTATTATTGCTTTTCTGTTTCTTGGTCTTTTAAAGAAATATTTTTCTTTTCACAATGTGGTATTTTCTCTTTATTTTGAGGATTGTGCAATGTTGAAATAACTATATTGGTGAGAATGTAGGTTTGTTTCTATCTATTTGGCCATTTTAATGTGAAGTTCTGTAATTTCCATTTTGGAAGTTTCCACACATTTTTGAATGGCTTTTGCGCCTTCTTCCTCTCTATGGTCCTGTCACTCACTTGTCAAAGATTTTGTGCTGTTCATCAGTGTCTTTTGTCTTTTCTTTTTTTGTGCTATTTTCTTAGGTATTTTTTTCCAGTTTTATTTTTTCTAATATTTTAAAGATTTTCATTTCACTTTCATAAATGTTATTCCAAGGTTTCTTATATTCTGGGTGTCTTCTTATCATACTGCCAACTGATCTTGTTCCAAAGATATGATGTTTTTACTTATATCTAATTATAATTTTTCCAAGCTCCTCTCCTCACTTTCTGGATATTCCACATTTCCTCTTGGATTCGGTCTCCTTGCTTCATATTACAAAGTCTTTACAAGTATCTACTGTCCCTGGTTGTCTGCCCATAGTTAAGAGGGGCTAAGCAAAGCTCTTTGTCTATGGAGGTAGAGCTACTGGATTACCGTCATCTTTGTTGATGACCTAGCAGGTCTCTTTATTTTTAAAATTACCTTTCTAGGAGTACTGAGATTTTTTCAGGGGGTAAGGGGCACTTTCCACTAAACCATGATGTCCTACGTTACGTCCCAGGACCCACAGGGTAGCAGGACCTCCACACATGCGGCAGGGTACATGCATACACATGCACACAGATAAATACATGTAAAAATAGTTTAAATAATAGGCTCAGATGGCATATATATATATAGATATATACATATCTCTATATATCACATATTCATATATATATTACAGGGCCTTTTCCACATAGTCATTCCTTATCCCTCTGTCCACTCCTGCTGGTCCCCATCCTCCTCCTGACTCTTCTCCATGTCACATGTCACATCCTGTTCCCTCTTTCCTCCTCCCTCAAGGTCACTTTTCATGTTCTTGTTGCAGGTCTCATTCATGGAGAAATACTAACATTAATGTCTTTGGCTGCTCTGTCTTCTTTGGCAGATTTCTTAGTTTACATTTTCTTAGTCTCTTGCCTGAGGTTATACATTCAGATGCTAGGCCGTAAGTGAACAAAAGCAGATCAGTATAAACTGATGCCTAATTTTTGCCTAATTATTCTTATGACCTTTGCCTTTTAGTCAATGGGATTTCTACTCCATCAGTTTTAGAGACTAATCTTGAGAGAGAGAGAGAGAGAGAGAGAGAGAAAACATGTGAGCATGTTGTAGAAAAGAGGAGTTATTTAGATTGGCTTACACAATTTGCACTGCCTAATGCATCTATGGTCATGTGAATGCTGAAGAGGCAGAGAACATGGTTGTTGCTCAGATCATGATGCTGGATACCTCAACAGTCCTAATTTGGTGCTGGAGGCATGGGGGCTCCTGGAGAGCCACTAGCATTTACATCCTTATTGGAAGGCTGAAGAAGCTGGGTTCTGGCGCCAACAAATGATGACATCATCACCAGCAACACGGTAGATGTGCTCACCATCTCTTTTAGAGGGCAGACATACAAAAGCTAACTTATGCTTTGAGACAAAGTCAGTGAACACAGAGCTCACTGACTGGCCAACCACTGGCTACCCATCAAGCTAAGCGACTGACCCCTGTGTCTGCCTGCATAGCACTGCAATTACAGGCTTGCAACGCCATGCCTGGCTTTTTACCTGGGTACTGAGAATTGAACTCAGGTCCTCATGCTTGCATAGCAAGCACTTTATCAACCAAACCACCCTGTGTGCCACCCTATGGTTTGGATACAAATAATGGTACATGTAGGTGAAATGGGGGTGGGGTGTGTGGGGGAATCTGAGGTATGCATCTCTTAAAGACAAGCTCAAACAAGTCTTCTTCTTTTAGCCTCCTCTTAAAGAACTTCTGTAATATTACAGATATAATGTTCACTGAATACACATTCACGCCAAAGTTGGTGCTAAAGAAAAAACTGTGAAAGTAAAGACAAATCAAAGTGGAAGGTAAGTGGGAAACGCCTTCAATAGATAAAAGCCCTAAAGGAAAATCAGAAATATAATCAAATATATTGCATCAAATAATGAAGTTAAATAACTAAAGTATGGTTAATTAAATCATACTATTTAATTCTAGGAGAAATTCTTGACAGAGATAAGTAGGTAACTACAAAAGAGCCTTCCTATGCTATAATTGTTAGTCTTAATATATGAGGAGAACAAAGTAATGATAGATTTTTGTGAGAATCAGAAAAAGATTCATTTGGAGCCAATTTTGCAAATGGAAGCAAGAGAGCACACAGAAGGCTCTCCCTGGCAGCATTTGTTACCTGAGTTCAGTTCTGATGAAACGTTTGCTGACTACCTCCATTTTCCCATCGTTATGTCATAAGCTGTTTGTTGCAAACACTGACACTCATACTGACCTTGGTAACAACATTAATGCTAGTAGATCCCATGGAACACACTCAGGTTGGCCCTGACTGCTGACTGATACCATTGGTTTGCAATCTTAGCGGATGTGACGCGCTAGGGAGAAAAATAAATAAAAGGAACAATCTGGCAACAGTGGCATGCTTGGCAGGTAGCACACACTTACGTTTATTCAGAAAGCACAAAACTGAGTGGATTGCAATGTGGTTAATTGGCCCTTAATTAATACTAACTCAAAATCTACCTCTCACTATTCTTGTTTCCCAGCTTGCCCAATACATGGAGTGGATGCTCTTCTCAACCCTTTAGCAGTTATGCTGAGGCCAGCACATCCTCCTGATAAGACTTCTGCTGTTCCATGATGTATGTGAAACCTTAGTAGGGGTTTAGCATATACAGGAAATCACGGGATCATATGTCATCCAAGTAGAGGACACAGAAAACACCTCATTAACATTTAGAAATCTTGACATCCTAATCTAAAATCCAGAATATCTTGAACTCTTGGGACCCATATAAGAAAAATGCTAATTTAGTTTAAGTTATGTTTTTATATCAGGAATTAATTAAAGACTAAAAACTATAATTATTCAAAATTAAGGACTTGAAAGTTATCGTAGATGATTTAAGTTAATGCATATTTATTTGAAAATGTCTAGAATATATATAGTGCTACTGTCCTGTTAGTATTCAGCCCATCCACTTTAATCAGTTCAGGGTCACTCAGACTTTTAACAGTACATAAAATTATTCTGCCACTTAAAATTATTTAAAAGACAGCTAACTGGAAAAAACCTTATAAGCAATCCTTTCAATAAGACATGCTACAAGTTAACGTCTAATGAGAAAAGCATAGAAAAAAACCTTGGTTTTAGGGAAATAATATCATGTTGAAAACACTTAATTTTAGATGAGCTATATGAAGATTATTTTGAGAGTACCACAAAGAAATAGTAAAAAGAGGCATAATTTTAATTGTCCATTTTACTCTCCACAAACTTCACATTGAGAGAAAAACACAAGTATACTATACAATCAGTTCAAAAATGTAGTTTTTTTTTTTTTAATAAGGAAATGAACAGAAATCAGATTCTCTATGTGGGTTTAACTAACTAAGTATAAATAAGAAACATAGATTTTCTCATATCTTACTGGGGTACATACATAGTCACAATTCTTTACAGTTTCCTACTAGGAAATAGTCTTTCCCTGTCTGACTCTTCGGTGGCCTGATGGCTGACACTGACTGACAGGAAAACTTCCAGAACCTGGGTTTAGTATCCAAGTTTCTACCTTTACCTTCATGGAATTTTCCTGAGTGTTTCTTACTTTGCAGGGATCTGCTTTTCCTGGATGAGGTATACCAGCTGAGGTGCCAGCTCACTGAACTCTGGTAAATATTTGCTTCACAACCAACCAACCAAAATCTTGGGTTTCCATACACTCCAATGACACACACACACACACACACACACATATATATATATATATATATATATATATATATATATATATATATATATATGTATGTATGTATGTATATATGTGTATATATATATATGTATATATGTGTATATATATATATTTTTTTGCTTGTTTTTGGCCATGCCTCACTGCAGTGACTAAAGTGGACAGATGTGCCTCCATGCCTGAAGGATGCTTACTACCTCTGCTTTTCTGTGGAACCATCCTTTCCTACCTGATGGCTTTTTGTATTCTTTCACTCACTGGAATTTTTGTTCTACTTATGTCATATTTTCTGAGATGATTCACAGAGCTCATGTAATAAAATCCCCAAGCAAAGAGATCATCAGAAGCAATGGCAGTGCTAAGTGTGATGGAGCATACCTTTGACACCTTTAATCCCAGCACTCAGGAGGAAGAGACAAGAAGATCTCTGAGTTCAAGGTCAGCCTGGTTTATATGGTGAGCTCCAGGACAGCTACAGCTATGCAGAAAGATCCTCTCTGAGGAAAACTAACTAACTAACTAACTAACTAACTAACTAACTAACTAACTAAC